TATTTAGTTATTTTGCCATATTGCTTGAATTTAGCTCCTGATAATAACTACCACTTTTGTAGGAGACAGCTAAATGCCAAACATTGTACTGGGAACTTTATATATCATTTCTAAAAATATATGGAACAAATGGCTAATTATTTAAGAAAAAAGCAACAGCATTATTGTTTAACTTTGTACCAAATATATACTACCTAGTAATGAATTTTCTAAAATGTGCTTAAGCTAGAAATGAAAGTACTACTTGGGCATTTTTACCCAAATTGATTATAGCAGGAAATCTCTATAGATATACTTGAGTAACTTAGAATTCTAGGTCTAGATAGTTATAATTCTAAGTCATGAGACTGAATTCTTGCCAAAGGTTTATTATGGTATATGATAATTCATTATCTAATAATTTGGCCTTTAGACTGCATTTCGTTTTATTTCTGCTTTTGCTGTTTAAGGGAATTTGTCTGATGGCCCAGTTAAATATTTTTGAATATCTTTTTTTTCAAGAGTCCTCAAGTAGCACATTTTTCATATAGTTAAATAATTTTGCATTTTTCCTTATAGTCATTTCCGCATTTAAATATTTTACATTCATCATAATTTGTAAGAAAATTTGAGGTAGGATAAAGAAAATCTCTAAAATAATAAAACCAAAACAAAATATATTAAAGCACGAAAAGTAACAGTATAATAGTCTATTGATTTTTCAGATCTCTTTTGTGCTACTAAGTTATTTTCCTGTTTTACTTTAAGGAGGTATTTTCTTTTTTCTTTTTTTATACTTGTTTATCTTTGAGAGAGAATGTGTTAGAGCGAGGTAGGGGGCAGAGACAGAGAAAGGGAGACAGAGGGTACAAAGTGCCTCTGCACTGACAGCAGAGAGCCCGATGTGGGGCTCGAATTCACAAAACCATCAGATTATGACCTAAGCTGAAGCCAAGAATCGGACAGTTGATCGACTGAGCCACCCAGGTGGCCCTGTATATGTGTACTTTTTTAAAGGAAAAATTTAAGTCAGTGATCTGACTCTTTCTAAATGGTAGAGGGAGGAGGGGGCCAGAAAGTATTTAGAGTTTTTAAAGGGTAAATATTTAGAGTTTGTTATTTAAAAAGTTGCAAATCAACTTTGGCTTAGAGCTGAGACAACATTAGAGTTTATAATCTCTCGTTTACCTGGCAGTTTCCAACTTCATGCTTTCCTATTGAACTCCGTGTCATTCAGCACATATTTATAAAGACAAAATGTTTTCAGCCAGATCATTGTTTTAAAAATATTTGGTGGGGCGCCTGGATGGCTCAGTCGGTTGAGTGTCCAACTCCAGTTCCTATCATGATTTCGTAGTCCATGAGTTCGACCCCCGCGTCGGGCCATCTGCTGACAGCTTAGAGCTTGGAGCCTGCTTCAGATTCTATGTGTCCCTCTCTGTCTCTGTCCCCTCTCCTGCTCATGCTCGGTCTCTCAGAAATAAAACACATTTAAAAAAATTTAAAAAAATATGTGACCACTCATGAGCAGATTTTCAGGCTTTTTGGTATTTTTAAGGATATTTATTATTTTGAGAGAAAGATTGAGAGAGAAAGAAAGGGCATGCAAGCAAGTGTTGGGGGCAGAGAGAGAGAAAGGATTGAGAGAATCCCAAGCAGGCTCATGCTTTCAGCACAGAGCCTGCCACAGGGCTCAGTCCCACAAACTATGAGATCATGACGTGGCCCAAATCAAGTGTTGGATTCTAACTAACTAAGCCACCCAGGTGCCCCTTTATTTTTATTTTATTTTTATTGCTTAACATTTTAATTTAATTTTGAGAGAGAGAGAGCATGAGCAGGAGAGGGGGAAAGAGAGAGAGAGAGAGAGGGCGCCACAGAATCCGAAGCAGGCTACAGGCTCTGAGCTGTCAGCACAGAGCCTGATGTGGGGCTCAAACTCATGAACTGTGAAATCATGACCTAATCCGGTCAGATGCTTAACCCACTGAGCTGCGCCAGGACTGTGCCCCTTTATTTTTAAATGTTTATTTTAGAGAAAAAGAGCGATTTTTGGAGGGGCAAAGAGAGACGGACAGGATCCAAAGTGGGCTCTGCACTGACAGCATAGAGCCTGATGTGGGGCTAGAACTCAGGAACCGTGAGATCATGACCTGAGCTGAAGTCAGACACCTAACCTAATGACTTAATAAGATCATTTTTAATAAAGATTGAAGATACATCATGTCACCACTGACGTAAATGGGATCAGTCATTGGGCTGTGATGTTTAGGTTTGATAAAATAGAAGAAACGATGAGTTTGTTTGATATGTGAGCTACAGGTTTCCTTGGTCAGTTGTGTCCGTACAAAGGAGAATTAGTCCTAGAAGTATGAAAAGAACTTTGTTGTAAGATCCAATTGTGTAGACTTTAAGATTTCAAAAAAAGAAATGTAATAATACAGTATTAGTATTCTTAAGTTGCTTGATGAAATCTCTTAGATTATCTGCTATAAAGTATCATAATTTCCGTTATTAAAAACTTTTAGGGGTGTCTGGGTTGTTAATATAATAAAATGAGTTTATAGAAGCTAACTCCCTTTGCAAAGAAACAAATTGAATATTTTCTGTTATTCCTGTATGACCCAGTGATGGGTGATTATAGAAAGTAGAAATATAGTTTGGGGCGCCTGGGTGGCATAGTCGGTTAAGCGCCTGACTTTCGCTTAGGTCATGATCTCCCGGTTCGTGGGTTCGAGCCCCGTGTCGGGCTCTGTGCTGACTGCCAGCTCAGAGCCTGGAGCCTGTTTCAGAGTCTGTGACTCCCTCTCTCTCTGACCCTCCCCTGCTCACGCTGTGTGTGTCTCTCTCTCTCTCTCTCTCCCTCTCTCTCCCCTAGAAATAAATAAAACATTAAAAAAAATTTTAAAAAAAGAAAGTAGAAATATAGCTTAAAAATACTTCTTACATGTGTACCTGGGTGGCTTAGTTGGTTAAATGTCTGACTTCGGTTCAGGTCATGATACTGCAGTTCGTGGGTTTGAGCCCTGCGTCAGGCTCTGTGCTGACAGCTCAGAGCTTAGAACCTGCTTCAGATTTTGTGTCTCCCTCTCTCTCTGTCCCTCCCCTGCTCACACTCTCTCTCTCTCTCAAAAATAAACATTAAAAATTTTTTAAATACTTCTAGATAGATACATATGTAATGCTGACTGAACAATATAGCTTGCTATATATAAGTAAATATTTGTGTATGGAGATGGAGAAATGTAGTCATATGTTTAATTAGAAATGGCTAAAAATAATTAACATTGCCCAGGCACTTCCCTTTACATGCCCCTAAATTTGTCAAAAGCTAATCCAAAATGTGTCTGCAAAAAGACTATATGTAATAAAGGATAATAATTTGTTACTATGTTAAAAATGATTTACTGGGCTTTTATTTAAGATTTGTGTTAATGAATGTGTAATTGTGAGTGAGAAGAATTGTGACATTTTGTTCTAACTTGTCTTAGAAACAAATTATGAGATTGAAAGAAAAATATGCCCTTGTACAGGCTGAAAATGCTTTGAGAAAATATTGCCTAAGGAATCTTACATAGTTATTCTTAAATGTAATTTAACTCTTTTATAGTTCATTACAGCTTCTTATATTACCAATAATTGTATAATATGTATTGGTAGGAAGGATCAGTGCTATAGATTATTTAGAGTCAATAAGCATAATCGTTCAAAGATTAAATACTACTAGCATATCTGTGTATATTTTCTGTCAAATTGACTCTAGACTGGTTGCTCACAGCTTCATTTTGGTAGTGTCATAATTTAGGACCCTATTTGAGTCAAACTGTATAGCTTAATTTAATATTATTTTAGCTTGATTTGAGAAATACTAAAATAAGACATTCTGAATAAAGATGAATTTTATTTTTGCAGTAGTATATATTTAGGAGAAGTTGACTTGTATCTTAGAATTATTTTCAGTAGTATTAGTTAATGACCGACAAATTTCATTACGCCTGTGATGCTTGTAGTGTATTAACTTGATATCATCATTTTTCATAGGAACTTTTCAGAATTGATAATTAGCTTGAGTTTTTATATGATGTTTCCCTTCTGAATTTCCTCATGAATTTTAAATGTGTTTTGATATGTTGAGTTGTTTTGTATTACAATGACTTGTGTACTTTTCCTCTCGCATTTTCAGATTAAAATTTTGCTTTCAAAGCATATATGAAATAATGAGAATTATTGCTTATATTATTACTGTTGGAGCAAAATATCTATCAAATAGTATAGTCATTTTGATTATGGCAGTTTGATTTTAATTGATCAAAGTAACAGAAATTTACAGTTCTATAGTTAGTTAAAATAGAGTAGTTATTTTTAGAAGTATCATGGTAAATAAAAGGAAAGTTAAAATAAAAAATCATAGTCAAAGCTTGAAAACTGGAAGGCATTCTGAACATCGCATGGATTAGCCTTTTATGGAAAGGAAGCTGACATTGGTTGTAGAACTGCCTTTTCCTAGAACAAAGCTGTTCCTGGAGTAATCTGAGCAATGTAAGGCTTCGTTTCAGTAAACCGATAAACTGAATTGCAGACTAGTCGCCATTTATTTTCAATGCTTACATTAATTTTTATCAGGGACTAGAACACCTAGCACTTCTAAGCAAATATAATCCAAAGCAAATGGACTTAACCAGCTATAATGCTTAAAAAAATCCTACCGTTATAATTGTACCAAAGTGATAAGTGATTAAATAGACAAAGTCTTTGTGCCCCCATGTCCCATCCTGGAATAATATATCTAGTGCATATTTGATTTGTGGAAGATTATGTTGCAGCTTATAAATAAGCAAATAAACATCTGTTTATTACTACTCAGTAACAGGATTTTTTGAGTGGAAGAAATAGGAGGGAAGTGGGAAAATAAAAATTAATTATATTAATATTATAACTGTTAAGTGCTTACATTTCCCCCACAATATTGTCTTGTACTGTATGATTTTTCAGCATTTAAGAAGCGGTTTTGTTCTTTATAGCTGAACCAATAACGTTTCCATCTGGAGGAGGCAAGTCATTTATTATGGGTTCTGATGATGTTTTGTTAAGTGTACTGGGCCTTGGAGACCTTGCAGACTTGACGGTAACAAATGATGCAGACTATAGTTATGATGTAAGTGCAGTTTTATTTTTAATTTTTTAATGATTTAATAGAAGGCTCCTTTTTTTTTTGGAAACACTTATAAAACAGAATTAATGTGAAGGTGCATGGAAAAGATAAGTTTAAGTGTGTCAATATGTTGATTTGAAGTGACATGTAGCTTTTCTTTTGTAACTACTTGCTTTGTGGTGTTTAAATTTTTCTTAGGTATTGTGGTGGATTATCTAGAAGTGTGGGATGATTATAATACTGGTTGATAAATATCTTGAGTAGTCAACTCTCAATTAGCTACTCAAATTAAGCCATATTATGGTGTTAACAAGAGAAAAATAGGTAACCTGAATTACTTGCCTTCAGGATACTTCTTAAAAATTATGTTTTATTTTAAACTTTTATTTTTTTAAGGATAATGTTAAAGTTAGCTTGCCATTTTCTGAATACTTATTTAGCCCTTCATTTGAGGGATGGGGAGAGGATGGAGATTGGATGGGAAGGATAGTGTTTAGAGGTGAAACTAGTCTTGGACTAAATTTTTTATAGACAATAAACACTCAATTGAGAGTTAACTATACTTGTTTAGATTTTGTATGAATGAATTTGCAGTTTTTCAGCAAATTAAATTTTTTCCTTTTGTAACAAATTCGTTTTTTCTACGTGTTATACCTGTGTTATAATACTTAAATTAGCATGCTTTTTAGAGACCTCAGCCTTGGTGGGCTGGATTATTCTTGTTTATATTTTCAAAGTATATAAGCAGCTAAATTCTAGTAAACTTTTGACTACTTTAGAAGTGGTTTCACAGCCTAGCTTTACAGATGGAGAAATGAAGGTAAAAAGATTAACCTCTTACCCATAAAAACAAGATGACAATATTCTTAAAGTGTCTTTAGTACCTTAATTTGCTGCCTTTAAAATTTTCACATGCTAATTTTCCAAATGACAGCTGTAATGTTAATACTGTTCTCTTGGATTTTGGGTAGTAATTTATATAATTTTTATTGTTTTCATGTAAAGCATTGGAGCATGGTAGTTTTTTTGTTCTCATCTCACATTTAATAGGACCTTTGGGTTTAGCCTGATGATTAGGTGAAACAGATTAAGAAACTCTTCATTTGGTCTGGGTATTTGAAAGCTAATTGAAATTATTCTTCTTAGTATCATTTGTTAAATGATAAAGATTTGTTATAAAGTTTTTAAGGTATGTTAAATTTCCACTGGACATTTTATCAAAGCAGTTTAATATTTTAGACACACCAAAACACACAAAACTCCACATGCCTATCAATTTACTACTTTTACCACTTAATATTGGACTCTTTCTTTATAGTTGCCTGCCAATAAAGATGCCTTTCGAAAGACATGGAATCCCAAGTATACACTACGTAGCCATTTTGATGGAGTACGGGCATTAGCTTTTCATCCTGTAGAACCTGTTCTGGTTACTGCGTCTGAGGACCATACTCTGAAACTTTGGAACTTGCAAAAAACAGTTCCTGCCAAAAAGCAAGTATTTTCATGTTAGCCTTCCAAATTTGCTAATAATTATAATTATTCTTCTTTATGATCTTATTTATACATTCATTTGCTCTTACCTAATGATTCCTGAATGTCAGCCAGTGATTTGAAGTTATTTAATTACCTTCTCCTCCCTAACCCCTCTTTTCTCCTCTTTTAGGAGTGCCTCTTTAGATGTAGAGCCTATCTACACATTTAGGGCCCACATGTAAGTTTTATTGGATTTGTATTTAAATTAACAGCCATAGTTACTGTTAACTATTGTTTATCAATCCTCAAACCGTGTAATTTTCTCATGATGTTTGCTTTTTATTAGTAAAGATATTAGTTGAGTAATATTTTGATTAATAATCTTAGTGAGAATGTAATCTGTACTGTTCAAGCTTACATGGTTATGTTAAACAGTTTCTAGGTATCACATAAATTTAGAAGTTGGGGGAGTATGGATTTGAGTTTCTTCTTAGGCTTCATAAATAATTTTTTTCCTTCTTTTCCTATCATAGTGGTCCTGTTCTATCATTAGCTATTAGTTCTAATGGAGAACAGTGTTTTAGTGGTGGTTTAGATGCAACCATACAGTGGTGGAATATGCCTAGCCCTCACGTGGATCCATATGATACATATGGTAAGTAAAAGGCTTAAAATATTTTTTTTTCTTTTCTTTTTTTTTTTTTTAATTTTTTAATAGTTTTTATTTTTGAAACAGAGAGAGACAGAACATGAGCAGGGGAGGGGCAGAGAGAGAGGGAGACACAGAATCTGAAACAGGCTCCAGGCTCTGAGCTGCCTGCACAGAACCCGATGCAGGGCTCAAACTCACGAACCATGAGATCATGACCTGAGCCAAAGTCTGACGCTTAACCAACTGAGCCACCCAGGCGCCCTTAAAACATTTTTTCAAGTGAATAGAGCTGACAGAATATTGTTATAAGGTTGTTTAAACATGTATTGTTCTCCTCATTTAGGTTTCTTTTGCTTTATTAAAGAGAAAAGTTAATATTTTGCCACAGAATATTTAAGCCTGTGAATTGGTACTTTATTGTGTCTGAAAATAAAAAATATTAATTAAAACATTAATTTTAGTACTAATTAACGAAAAGGAAGAGAATAAAATTTAATAAAAATAATATATTAAAGTATTTTAAACTATTAAGAAATAGTTTATGTAGTTCAGAAATACTTGGCAGAAAACAATAGAAATAATAGATTTACTGTGTAAATCAGTATAATTTTTTAGAGGACAATAGATTTCTTAAAGAAAACCTTTTATTCACAAATGTCACATTAGAATATGTCCCACAGAAATACCTATATATGTATTCAAATATACTTATAAGGGCAATGTTTGTAATTATAAAAAATTATAACAAAATGAATAGTAGTATGAGAAAGGCTGAATAAGCAGTAGTCTGCTTAATGTTTGGTTCATTCAAAAAGAATTCAAGAGCTCCTGGGTCTTTTTTTTTTTTTTTTTTTTTTAAACATACACTTGGTGCCTTAATTGGCCAGGGACAGTGTGACATCAAGAAATAAGAATTAGTGGGGCACCTGGGTGGCTCAGTCGGATGAGTGTCCGACTTTGGCTCAGGTCATGATCTCACAGTCTGTGGGTTCGAGCCCTGCGTCAGGTCTGTGCTGACAGCTCAGAGGCTGGAGCCTGCTTCAGATTCTGTGTCTCCCTCTCTCTCTGCCCCTCCCCTGCTCATTCTCTGTCTCTCAAAATAAAGACATTTAAAAAAAAGAAAGAAAGAAGATGAAAAAGACAGACATTAAGCAAATAAAAAGGAGGTGGAGTTTGTGATTAGAAATTATGATAAGTGGTATGAAGATATAGTACTATGAAAGAATAACAGAGTCTTCTTTTTTTTTTTTTAATTTTTTTATGTTTTATTTATTTCTAGGAGAGAGAGAAAGAGAGACAGTGTGAGCAGGGGAGGGTCAGAGAGAGAGGGAGTCACAGACTGAAACAGGCTCCAGGCTCTGAGCTGGCAGTCAGCACAGAGCCTGACGCGGGGCTCGAACCCACGAACCGCGAGATCGTGACCTAAGCGAAAGTCGGACGCTCAACCGACTAAGCCACCCAGGCGCCCCTAACAGAGTCTTCTTTAAATGTAGTCCAAAATAGTGACATTTAAGCCAGGTTAAGGGTGGAGACGTGGAGAAAAGAATACTAATATAAAGTTGTAATGTAGTGGTCTAGTAGACTAGGTGAGAGATGATGTTTCCAAGATCATAGTGGTGGAACACCAGATGGTAGCAGAGCAGTTAGTGAGAAATGATTGATGATACATTGGGGAGGTAGAGTAAGCCAAATCTACTGAAAAATTGGATTGAGTGGAGAAAGTGTTGGATAAGTGATTCTTGATTTTGTTACTTTTTAAAACAGTTTTACTAATATATTCACATATGATAAAATGCACCCTTTTTAAGTATATAATTCAGTGGTTTTTACTATATTCACAGGGTTATGTGGCCATTACCACTATCTAATTCAGAACATTTTTAACCACCACTTCTGTATTTTTTGGCAATTGATTATATAATGGTCATATATTTGAAATGGGTGTAGAACAGTTCTAAGGTTAAAAATGGTGAGTTCAGTTTTTAGGCATGTTAAGAAATGGCAGTATCGAGTAGCTAATATTAAGATATGAGAATGGATTGTATAATATTGGGAGAGCACGTTGTGTAGTCCATGAAGGAGAAGGCAGAGTCCTGAGCAACTCTGACATTAGGAGAATGACTGGAGCAAGAGAACCAACAAAGGACGCTGAGGAAGGAGGAAGTGCAGGAAACTGTTTTTGAGAAGAAGGAAGCATTATGCACTCTCAGATGTTGCTGAGAAGTATAATAATATGAGGATAGAAAGGTTCCTTTTTATAAGTGTCTAGTAGTTCACCCACGTTTTAGCCAGCCCGAGGTTGGATACTGGGACTAAGACCAGAAGGTACAGGGACCTCTGGACAACTTTTCAAGGCACACTCTGAATGAAGAGCAATGTGATGAGAGTAACAAATCCTCAAAGAAAGAAACATTTTATTAAATTTGATAGAAGAGAGTTCATCATCGATGATTTTAGCAAGGATTGTTTTGGTGTAGTGATGGTATCAGAAACCAGATTAGACTGATTTAGAGAGTGAATGAGAGGTAAAAAGCATAATTATTCAGTATGCCCTTCTGCTGGTCTCTTGGAATGGTGATGTAAGGTTAAGGTTTTTCTTTTAAGTAAAGAGATTCTGGAGCTTACTTGTTTGCTGTGGCGATGATCCTAAGGAGAAGGAGAATTATTGTATAGTAGGGAAATTGTCAACATGAAAGCAAGTTAGTGAGTTGAATAGAATCCAGAATATACCCGATAGAATTAGCCTTTGATAAAAAGGAGAATAATTCCCGGGATGCCCAGTGGCTCAATACGACTTCAGCTTAGAATATGATCTCAAAATTCCTGAGTGCACGGACAGCAGAGAGCCCACTTTGGATCTTCTGTCACCCTCTCTGTCCTTCCCCACCCCCATCCCCACACCTTTCTCTTTCAAAAATAAACTTTTTTTTTTTTTTTTTTTTTTAAAGGAGGACAATTCTTTACTCCTATCTGGAAGCAAGAAGATGGCTTTAGACACTAGTAGATTGGGTGGTGGAAAGATGAGGGAGAGGTTCTTCAGTGCTATATTTTTTCAGTGAAGTAGATAATCATTCATGAGGAATTCTGGAGATAAGAAATAGCTGTGGAGGGATTCCTGGGTGACTCAGTTGGTTAAAAGCATCTCTGACTTTTGGTTTCAGCTCAGGTCACGATCTCAGTTTATGGTTCATGGGTTTGAGCCCCGTATCCAGCTCAGCACTGACCGTGTGTGCAGCCTGCTTGGGATTCTCTGTCTCCCTCTCTCTGTAGAGAGGGAATGTCTCCCCTGCTTGTTCTCACTCTCTTTCTCTCTCTCTTGCTTAAAATAAACATTAAAAAACATTTTTTTTAAATAGCCATGGAAAGTGGGAGTTTATTAGATATGCAGGATTGTGGGTAGGGCAGGTGGTGCACAGTGTTATTATTAGCTACTATGTCGATCAAATGATGATAAATGAAATGTAGTATGTCCATACAATGGATATTATTTAGCATTAAAAAGAAATAAAGTACTGAGACATGCTACATCATCATGGCTGAACCTTGGGAACATTATGCTAAATGTAAGAAGCCAGTCACAAAAGGCTGTTTGTATGAAATGTCCATAATAAACAAACGTCTAGATTAGTGGTTACATAGGCTTTGGAAAAGCAGGGAGAAATGGGGTGGGGAGGAAGTGGCTAATGAGTGATAAAAGTGTCCTAAAATTGATGTGCTGATGATTGAATAACTCTGTGAAAATACTAAAAACCACTGAAGTACATACTTTAAATTGGTGAATTATATGGTATGGGAATTATATCTCATAAAAGCTGTTTTTTAAAAAATGTGTATTCTTTATAAGCCAGAGTGTATTGTGCTAAGTGAAATAAGTCAGAAAGATAAATACCATATGATTTCACTCATGTGGAATTTAAGAAACAAAACAGATGAACATAGGGGAAGGGGAAAAAAAGAAAGGGAAGCAGATCCGAAAACAGACTCTTAACTGTAGAGAACAAATAGGGTTGATGGAGAAGAGATGGGCATTAAGGAGGGCACTTGTTCTGCTCCTGAAACCAATATCACACTGTATGTTCACTAAGTAGAATTTAAATAAAAACCTAAATAAAACTAAACTCATGACCAAAAAAAGCAGAGAAAATTGCAAAAAATACAGGAGAGTATTGTGGAGGAGATAAAAATAACCCCTAATTCCACAACTTAGAGATGCCCACTGTGTACACTTTGGTTATCTTCTTATGGCCCTTATAAGTAGTCTTTTATCCATAATTATATGGTAAGTTGTCTTTATCCGAAACATTTCCTTCCAACTTTTTTAAGCTAATTTTTGTTTGTTTGTTGTTTCTTTCCAGAGCCAAATGTTCTAGCTGGCACTTTAGTTGCACATACAGATGCTGTCTGGGGTCTTGCTTATAGTGGCATAAAAAATCAATTACTGTCTTGTTCAGCAGATGGCACTATTAGGTTATGGAATCCACAAGAAAAATTGCCATGTATTTGCACTTACAATGGAGACAAGGGTGAGTAAATTTTGCCCTATAAAAAAGCTATCTTTTTAAAAATTTGGAAGACAAACGACAAAGCAATTGATATACTATCTCTTTGCTACTCCAAGAGATATATTGAAAGAATTTTATAAAGTTTGTGATACTCTTCTTATTCCTAGTCATTTATTATTAACAAGAAAGGTACTTTGCAAGTACATCCTATAGCTTGTTGCCTTTGACCTTTTCAGGGCATGTCCTGTTTAAAAATTAAAACTCTTTGTAATAGTGCAGTAGACAAATGAGGCCGCTCATTGGAACAACTTGAAGCCCTCTACCAGTTCCAGGTGGCTTTTCTTTCTTTCTTTTTTTTTTTTTTTTTTTTTACAGTTTATTTATTTTTGAGACAGAGCACAAGTGGGCGAGGGGCAGACAGAGAGGGAGACACAGAATCCGAAACAGGTTCCAGGCTCTGAGCTGTCAGCAGAGCACCTGACGCAGGGCTCGAACCCACGAACCCTGAGATCATGACCTGAGCCAAAGTCGGACGCTCAACTGACTGGGCCACCCAGGCGCCCCTCCAGGTGGCTTTTCACAAAGACTAAAGGGTCTTTGAGGCTTATAGGTCTCAAAGCATAGTTGATGCCATGTGTGAGCACGTTGGTTGAGAAGTCGAACCAATGAAATAGTAACCTCAAGTGGGAAGTACAAACTGAGTTACATGTATGATTTCAAATATTTTCCTGTCAATAAAGCTTCAGGCAGTTTGCTTTGTGATAACGTTTATTTGTGTACATATGTTTATGTACTGGCATTACTCATATTTGAGTCATTTTTAAGTTATTTTAAAAATCAAATCTTTCCTTTAAAACTCTGTTGTGTTTTAGATGCATAGTCTATGTTTAATTTTGTTACGTCTCTTCAATACCTTAGTGATTCTACTAATTTTTCAATTACTCAAGGTTTTGAGGTAAAAATTTATTTAGATATTTGTTTGATTAATCTGACCAGTTGACTTCAATAAAGAGAAGAGAAATCGCTACTCAGGACATAGCAGAATAAGTACCGCATTGGTGGATTCCAGACTTGAAGCTATATGTTCACAGATTCAAAAATTTAACCTGTATGAGCTATGTGATGAGGCTTATAGGTCTCAAATAGGTGCTTTCTCTTACAACAATGATGTGAGAATGCGAATTTATCATTTTACAGTAAAAAGTAAAGTTGGCAAATCGGTCAGAAGACTCACTTTAGATTTTTTTCTTTCTTAGAAGAAAATGCATAAGAGAACAAATAACTTCTGCACATATCTCTTCTTTGAGCCCTCTGTTTTTCTTGTGATGTTAAATAGAATATTATAACAACTTAAAATAATTGAGGGAAAATTACCTGTTGTATCTCACTGTCCTAATAAAATTGCTCTCATTCTCATTATTAACATGATTTCAAAAATACTTGAGTTCCTTTTATCAGAAAAGCAGGGATTTCTAAATTGTTTTTACATTGTATCTCTTTGGGGATCCTTTTCAGAGCATGGAATACCTACATCAGTTGACTTTATAGGCTGTGACCCAGCTCATATGGTGACCTCTTTCAGCACTGGTAGTACAGTAATTTATGATTTAGAAACATCACAATCATTGGTGATGCTTTCCTCACAGATAGATTCTGGTAAGTTTTCATAAGTTTCTTTGAAACCTTAAAACATTATTAGACAATAGAGGGTAATCTTTTAATTTTCACATTTTGACTGAATTTATGTTGAAAAAATAGTTTTAGTGCATTATGGTTGTACTAATTTACATGGTTGTTTGCTGTTTTCTCAAATTATGCTTAAAAGCTTAGAGAGTATAGGGTACAGAGAGAGTAGAGCAATATAAATGTGAAAAAGTGAAAATAATTTCATTTATTTATTTATCCATTCATTCATTCATTAATTCGTTCGTTCATTTATTTAACGTTTATTTTGGGAGAGAGAGCACAAGTGGAGGTACAGAGAGAGAGAGAGAGAGGGAGAGAGAAAGAATCCCAAGCAGGCTCTGCACTGTCAACACAGAGCCCAGTGTGGGGCTTGAACTCACGAACTATGAGATCATGACCTGAGTCCAAATCGAGAGTTAATATGCTTAAACGAATGAGCCACCTTCAGGTGCCCCAAGGGAAATAGAGTCTCCACAGTGTGGATTTTGCTGTTTGCATCCTTGTGATATCATGTAAGGTGCTTTCTTTTTTCATATCATTTCCTGTAAATAGTTTATAGATCTAGAGGCTTATTCAAATTCAGGTTCTGTCTTCATTTTAAAGGTTTTAAATGTTTTTGGCAAGACTATTTCATAGTAATTTGTGAGCTTTTATCAGAAATATTGTCTGGTTGTTTATATTTTTCTTACATTTTCAGTCTTAATGATTATTGTGTAGGTCCATTAATTCTCTTGAAAAATGATTTTCTAATTCTTTCATTCCTTTTCCACTTATTAGCTAGAATATGTCTATAAAAGGAAACACTCCTCATCAGTAATTTACTTACCCTAGAGTTAGTGATTATAAGTGAAGGGAAAGATCACTTGTTGATCCCTCCACCCTTTATCAGTTTTCAAAATAATGAAGTGGTTTCCTAGTGTCACTTAAAGGTGACCATTGAGGGGCGCTTGGGTGGGTCAGTCAGTTAAGCATCCAACTCTTGATTTCAGCCCAGGTCATGATCTTATGGTTCGTTAGTTCAAGCCCAAATCTGGCTCCATGGTCAAGCCCAAATTGGCTCCATGGTGACAGTGCAGAACCTGCTTGGGATTCTCTCTGTCTCTCTCTCTCAGCCCCTCCCCTGCTTATGCTCTCTCGTTCAGAATAAATAAACTTAGGGGCGCCTGGGTGGCTTAGTCGGTTAAGCATCCGACTTTCGCTCAGGTCATGATCTCGCGGTTCATGGGTTTGAGCCCCGCGTCGGGCTCTGTGCTGACTGCCAGCTCAGAGCCTGGAGCCTGCTTCAGATTCTGTGTCTCCCTCTCTCTCTGACCCTCCCCTGCTCGCGCTCTCTCTCTCTCTCTCTCCTAGAAATAAATAAAACATTAAAAAAAATAAATAAATAAAAAATTAAATAAACTTAAGAAAAAAAAGTGACCACTGAATCTTTTGGATGGTGTTTGTTTTTATTACCATTATAATCTCTAATCTGATATAAATTACCTCATGTGTTTTAGTCTACTGCAGATTATCTTTATCACTCCTCAGATTATTTCATCTTTAGCCAGTGGGAGCTTATTCACTTTGGCTCTTGAATCGTTTTGACATGACTCCGTTAGTCATCAATAGCTTTCTCACTTTCTGATGTAGCACGATGTTTAGGTCCATCTTGTTCATTTTGTGCCTCAGACTGAAATCACACATTTCTCTAAGAAGTCATGGTTTCTTTTAGTCTCAAATGGCATTTAGGGACCACAGTGTAGGTGCGAGGCTATTAGGTTGCTTCTCACAGCTCTTATAGCTGTTAAGTTGCTCGTTGGTTTAGGCTTTTTCAGTGGACAGAGCTAGAAATGCACTTTTAAGAAAGAAAAACACTGATAAATTCATACAAATACTTCTGTTCAAATTTAGATTTATCTCATGAGGCGTCTGGGTCGCTCAGTCAGTTGAATGGCCAAGTTCGGCTCAGGTCATGATCTCATAGTTCGTGAGTTTGAGCCCCGCTTTGGGCTTGCTGCTGGCAGCCCAGAGCCCACTTTGGATCCTCTGTCCTCCTCTCTCTCTGCCCCTACCCCACTCACACTCTCAAAAATGAATAAATATTTCATTAAAAAGATTACTAGATTTATGTCATTGCTTTTTACCTCACTTTATTTATTTACTATTTATTTTTGAAGTGTGTTTATTTTGAGACAGAGCACAAGCGGGGCAGAGGGAGAGGGATAGAGAGAATCCCAAGTGCTAATGGCACAGAGCCTGACACTGGGCTCAGTCTCATAAACCATGACATCATGATCTGAGCTGAAATCAAGAGTTGGACACCTAACCAACTGAGCCACCCAGGCACCCTTTACCTCATTTTATCTATGCTAAAACTCGATTCTCAGCAAAATCATCATAATCTCTCATTTGATTTATTCTACAGTACAAATACACTCAGAATAATAAAACCAATACCACCACCAGTAGTAATTTTGTATTCATGGTATATTCCACTAGGGACAGACTAGTTACTGTGCTTTAAAGTTACTTGAAATGGTTGGTTTTTTTGTGTTCACACCCCAGTTGGATATACAGTTATATTCTTTTAAGTAAACTTGGTTTTTGTGAGTGGTTAAAAAAAATCATTTTATTATTATTTAAGCCATTTAAATGGTTCCACGGTCAGATCTCAACCAAATTACACTCAGAGAAGTCTTTTCAACTCTAGTCCCTTTCTCCTTCTTAGACAGGTAATGTATCTAAGCTCAGTTAAGAGTTATTGTATACATGTGAAATGACTGACTTAGTTAAAATCTAAGCATTTATTATGAGAGAGAATCCCAAGCACACTCCACGCTGTCAGCACAGAGCCTGACATGGGGCTTGATCTCACTAACTGTAAGATCATGACCTGAGTCAAAATCACAAGTCCAGTGCTTAACCAACTGAACCACCCACACGTCCTTCTCATTAGTTTTGATCCTTCTTGGTTCTTCCTCATCTCTAATATTTAATAAGAACTTTTAAGAGTTTGGTAGCAAAGAAAGGTATCCCTAAGAACATTGATTCCTGTTGTTGTTTTTTTTGTTTTTGGTTTTTTTTTTTTGGTGACTATGGGTAGGATGAGGGTTGTTCCTTGTAAACATCTAATTATCACTTACACATTTTTTCATTATGTGCTTATAATTCATTTATGGGCTGTTTATTATTTTAAAGAAATGTTAATGTTTATTTTTGAGAGGGAGAGAGACAGAGGAGAGGGAGAGAGAGGAAGACACAGAATCCGAAGCAGGCTTCAGGGTCGGAGCTGTCAGCACAGAGTCTGACGCGGGACTTGAACCCACAAACCATGAGATCATGACCTGAGCTGAAGTCAGACGCTTAACTGACTGAGCCATCCAGGCGGCTCTATGGGCTATTTATTCAAAGTAATGATTACTGTGAATCTTTTATGATTCTGAACCATTTAGCAGTGCCTGGGTAGCTCAGTCAGTTGAGTATCCAACTCTTAATTTCAGCTCAGGTCATGATCTCATGGTTTCTGGGAATCAAGCCCTGAATCAGGCTCCCTGCTGACAGTGGTGCTTCTTGGGATTCTCTTTTGCTCTTGCTCTCCCTCTCCCCTGCCCCCATGCTTCTCCCCAACTTGCTCGCTCTCTCAAAAAAATAAAAGATTCTAAGCCATCTATACTAACAATCTGCATTAAAATACTTCTAATTTTTCCTAAACTCAAAGCTAGTACTGTCAATATTATAGGACATGATAGCTTAAACATATATTTTTAAAGAAACTTTATCTCTCTACAGCTCTGATTTTAGTTCTCAGATTTTTATTCTATACAAATGCTTTAATTTTTAAATGATTCCCATCTTTTGGTAAGACTAAAAAAGCTATCTAAATTTTAATTGAAGGTTTGAGTTTTACTACATTATCTTCCTTTATTTTTCAGGTTTACAATCTAATAATCACATTAACAGAGTAGTAAGTCATCCCACACTTCCTGTTACAATAACTGCTCATGAAGATAGACACATCAAATTTTTTGATAATAAAACGGGTAAGTAGATTGTCTTTTTTTCTTTTTAGTCTTATTAATAATACTGTAAATTTGACATCAGAAATGCTATTTTGGTGAGTGCCTTGTTGGCTCAGTCCATCAAGTGTCTGTCTCTTGATCTCAGCTCAGGTCTTGATCTCAGGTTCGTGAGATCAAGCCCCATGTGGGGCTCTGCACTGGGCACAAAGCCTACTTTAAAAAAAAAAAAAGGCTGTTCTTTTTATGTAAGACATACAGACTTTTTGCCTTCAAAATTGCCAAGTTAAACCATTTTAAACTCAAGAGTTTTGCTTTACTTCCATGTCAGGTTCTATTCTTAATTAAGCATATATAATACTTTACCTATATATTATGATTTTTTTCATGGCATGTTAAATATAAACCCATTTGAAATTTTTTCTTCATATTCTGTTGGGCATAGTATAGCAGAAGAGGTCTCTTTCTGGTGTTTGGCATTTCATACATGCTCTTAGAAGTATTTCTCAGATGAGGGGCGCCTGGGTAGCTCAGTCAGTTAAGCATCTGACTTCAGCTCAGGTCATGATCTCACGGTTCGTGGGTTCGAGCCTTGCATTGGACTCTGTGCTGATAGCTGGCTCAGAGCCTGGAGCCTATCTTCGAATTCTGTGTCTCCCTCTCTCTCTGACCCTTCCCTGCTCATGCTGTCTCTCTATCTCTCTCAAAAATAAATAAAACATTAAAAAAAATTTTTTTAAAGAATTATTTCTCAGATGAGATGATGAAATAATGTAAATGGTTTGTTGCCATTTTCCCTCCGTTTCTTGTTGTGAGGAAACTTACCAATTATATAGAAGTCAAAATAAATTTTAATTTGGCCATAGGACCAATAAGGACCTGTTTTATCTGTCATTAGAATACCACATAAGACAAGATACTCTTTGAGCTCAGCTAAAGAACCTTTTTTGAGAAGTTAAAACAGGTATTGAAGGACTTCCAAGTAAAAAAAAATTAAATGTTAATTGCAGCCCTATTGCAGGGCAACAGGTTATCAAGCAAGACAGATCAGAACTACACATTTCTCTTTGAAGTTTATAGAGAATATAATTATTAATCTTTAGAGACTAACAATAAATCCCTGTGTTCAAATAACACTCTAATGGACAAGTTCCTTTTAACTCAGTAGAATAGGTTGAGAAGAGAATGGATGTTCACAGTCTCTATATTGCATGGGAAAGAAGATTCGCATTCATATGAAGTTCTCAGTTTAACACCTTCTCAAGTCATTTCTTTGAACAATTTTATTAAGCATCAAGATCTACCTCTGCTGCAAGCACAGAGATAATTTCCTTTACTGTATTTGTAAGATGATTAAAAATTTTTTTTTAATGTTTGTTTATTTTTGAGAAAGATCAACAGAACATGAGCAGGAGAGGGGCAGAGAGAGAGGGATACATAGGATTTGAAGCAGACTGCAGGCTCTGAGCTGTTAGCACAGATCCCAGTGCGGGGGCTTGATCCCATGAACTGTGAGATCATGATCTGAGCTGAAGTCAGTCACCTAACAGACTGAGCCACCCAGGTGTTCCTATAAGATTTTTTTAAATTACCTTTTGAGGGTTTACATTTGTAAGGGGGAGGTTTAGGAATTTTAGTAGTGTATTATCAGCAAAATGTGATTCTCTAGAGCTATTCTGTTGGCAGAAATCAAGAAAGTGGTAATAAAATTTTATTTAATAACAAATAAGGAGCCTATAGTCTTTCAGATTATTTACAAATTTTACCAATTTATTCTTTCTATTAACTAGTCTGGTTACCTTATCTGTAATGTAAAGACAAAGCAGTAGGCTCTAAACAATGGAAAAATTCTTTGTAGATCCTGTCTTACTTCACATACAGATAAACACTATACATAACAACATTGAGGTAAATTGTAAATTGTGTTCAGATATATTGTTTCCAAAGAACTTTTTCCCTGAAAAATGGTAATTCATTTAAATGTAACAAACTAGGGGCACCTGAATGGTTTAGTCCATTAAGCATCCCACTTAGGCTCACATCATGATCTTGCGGTTTGTTGGTTCAGCCCACATTGGGCTCTCTGCTCTTAGCATGGAGCAGATCCTCTGTTCCCCTCTCTCTCTTCCCGTGTCCTGTTTATGCTCTCTCTTCTCTCTCAAAAATAAATAAAACATTTAAAAAAGTTATAATATTTCCATAACTGGTCTGATATTGCCTGTTAAGTTTTTAATAGAATATTATTCTATCAAATGCCTAATATATTTATTGATTTTTTAAAATCTGAAACATTATAGAAATTGATACTATGAACGGATTCAATAAATTCTTAGATTTTAACCACAAAAATATATTTAGCACTTTGTATTCCACACTCACTGGCTACTATCATGTATAAGATGTGGTATTTCTTATAGCTCTCTGGGAACTTATCGTAGTTTGGGGAAATAGGATGTATGTGTATGTGTACGTGTGTACTCATACATGCAGTAAAATTAGCAATGGTAGAAAAAGGAGTCTTCAGAGTGAGGGTTTGGTCTTTGCCTTAAAGAAATGGTAAGTTTTTTTGTTATTGTTTTAAGTAAAGAAAGTAGTAGGAAATTCCAGATAAGGGCATATTTTGAGAAGAGGTAGCAGCATGGTGGTATGAATTTAGACTGGAACAGAAGTTTCTTATAGATAAAGCCAAAAAGGTAAGTTTGGAGAAGGGAAACCCAGTCTATTGAGAACTTTTCAGAGCCAGGCTAAGAATGATGGATTTTTGTTTACACTATGCACTATAAAAACCACTTAAAATATTTGAGCAGGGGTTTGTAAAATTGGTTTAGAAAGATTATTTAAATTGCATTATCTGGTAGGTCTTTGATTTTAAATAATTTCAGTTTCTACTATTCTAGAGAGATACTAAGGGCTCATGGTTTTTATAATTTGGTAGAGATATAAATTTGAGTTGCATATACTGTTCCTGAGAGATTTAGCTAGTGATAGTGAGTCTAGGAGAAGGTGTACAAGCGAGGAATATGGAGGAGTTGGGGACAGAAGATCCTGAGTTTGTTGTGGACTCATTCATTCACAGTTTATTGTATGTCTGCCATTTCTTTGGCATAGTTTTCATTGCTTTCATTTCAAACAAACAAAATTTCTGTTCCTCTTAGAATTTATACACTAGTGTTATATTGGTTACACTAGTGTTACTGCTTATACCCTAGTGTTATATTGCAAGTGAGACATTGTTCTATTAGATTTACATGTATTAACATATTTGTTCCTCTAATAATTATAAAGTAGATAAAGTATTATTATTATATCCATTTTAGGTTTGAAATAAAAGTCTCAAAAGAAGTTACATCATTTCTTCATTGTTACATGGCAGGGAGAATTAAAAGGTTGGGATTCACATCCATACAGTTTGCTTCCAGAGTCCACATTTTTTAAATAATCTATTTTGTCCCCGTTTCATAGAGGCCCACAATATCGATTCCCCAAGTCCAAGGGCTTAAGATGCCAGGGAGGGGGGAGAACAGCTGACTGAATGTATCTTCTCTTTGCTTCTGTTATAGAAGGAAATAATTAATTTTGTACAGCATAGAGAGATAGTAGTAGAGGCATGAGGCAAAAATAAGTGGTTAAGTGTGAGAAGCTTTAAGTATATAAGTTGATAAAGGAGGAATCCTAATTCTTCGGAGGTGTCAGAAATTTTGTGACTTTTGTGGTTACCAGTGGAAGCCCAGCATCCAAATTGGTTTAGCATTCCCCCTCTTTGACTGTGGAAAGGAAGGGTTGACTCTAAATTGACTTAGGTTTTCATAGTGAGTTGCATAGTGAGGGTTAATTTAGTGCCCAGGAGATAAACTGGGAAGATTATAGTACCCTTTAAAAAATGGATGTTTCTGCTGCTGTTTGGATGAAAGAATTCTTTGTGTTTAAGACCAACTAAATTTAGGAGATCTAGGATCATTCTCAGGAAAAAAGTTAGCACTAGATCTGTGAATTAAGAGTTACTGACATAGATTTGACATTTTGAGGGAGGCTAATGTCCTAGAAGCCAACAATTTCATACCTAGGCTTTTTATACAAATATTGTGAGGAAAGGATTCTAGAACTAAGAGATAAATTGTGTTGGACTAAACAATTAAAGATAGTATGTTGAATGGTTTTTCTGTTCTTCAAATGACAGAGAAGAATCCCTAAAATTACTCTGTTAGTATTAGTGAGAGAGAGAAAAATGTCATTTGAAATGATGAGAGACTAATTTTGTACTTAACTGATGATGTGCTTAGTATTGCCAGAAAGTGATAGGACCTTTTATGTTTTTCAGAGTAACTTTTTGCACGTTTGATTATGTTGTGTTTTTGTATTCAGGCCAGTAGCTGTAGCAAATAACACAAGTAGATCTATTTCATGTTCCAGTGTGGAATATCATCAGGGGACCAGAAATATGGCAGATGATTGTAACTAAAATTCTGGAGAAGGCCTCTCATTAGGAGTAGCTCAAGCATTTGAATAATAAAGACTCAGCTGAATGAAAGGGGAGGAATTTTTTTTAAATATCTGTATTTGCTATTTTATTCCCTTCTTGGATAAATCAATTTATGATGTTGCTTTCCATTTATCCAAAAGCATATATTGCCAGTACCCCTAAAGTATTTATGCAACACAACTTTGTACTCATAACTTGTTTTTTTTTTGTTAATTTTGCCATCGAATCCCATTTTCTTGGAAATCATCTTTGAAGATATTCATTAAATCCCATTTTCCAGAATAGTGTTTTTGTTACTATCTGGGAAAATCCAGGATAATTTCTCTGATATACTCCCACCGCTCTTCCCTTTCTTGTTTCTAATGTATAAAATGATTAACAATTCAAAGAAGTAATGAATTTGATAATAGTAGAATCTTAAGTTAGGAGTATATCCCATAGTGATCTATTTATCAGCAACCCCATATATGAAATACTCTTTACATTTCTTAATGAGAAAGATTCTTCCTGTTTTTAGTTTAATTCCAGTTTACATGATCTTAATGGATGCAACCATACAGTCATTATGGTTTTCACTGTCTACCATATACTGTCAGATTGTCACACAGATGCCTTTATTAGGAGTAACTGGGAAAGTTCTGCCTTGGAATTAAAATTGTCTCCAAAAATTACTACAGGCATACCTCACAGATATTGCGGGTTCACACAACTGTAGTAAAGCCCATTTTGCATTAAAGTGAGTCAAATGAATTTTTTCATGTCCCAGTACATATAAAAATTCATGTTTATACCATACTATCATCTCTTAAATGTGCAATAGCGTTATCTGCCTTAATGAAAGAAAACTTTATTGAAAAAAACAAAGCTTACCATTGCTGAGCTTTCACCAGGTTGTAAGCACCAGTCATAGACAACCATAACAAATATATTAATAATGAAAACATTTGCATGCAGTATTGCAAGAATTACCAAACTGTGCCACAGAGACACAAAGTGAGCAATGCTATTGGAAAATGGTGCCAGTAGATGTGTTCAATACAGCTTTGCCACAGATCTTCAGTTTGTAAAAACACTGCAATATCTGTGAAGCACAGTAAAACAAGGTATGCCGGTATACTGGGTGAACCTTGAAAACCTTTAAAAAGGCACATACAAAAAGCCATATGTTACATGTATATTTCGTTTGTATGAAGCATCGAAAATTGGCCAGATCATAAAGCAGATTAGTGGTAACCAGGGACTTGGGGGAAGGGGAGAAATAGGGAGTGACTGCTTAATGGGTACGGGTTTCCTTTTGCAGTGATGAAACTGTTCTGAACTGGATAATGGTGATGGTTGCATATCATTGCGAATGCTCTAAAAGCCACTGAATGGTACCTTCCCAAATGGTTAAAATGGTAAATTTTATGTTATGTGTATTTTACCACAGTAAAATTATATTGCTATAGTGATTGTCTATTTTATGTTGATGCTGTGTGATGGTTTCTGATCTCGCAAGTTAGTAACTATTTGTGAAAACTTTATCTTCTGTGTTATGTTTTATTTAGGTAAAATGATCCATTCTATGGTAGCTCATTTGGATGCTGTTACAAGTCTAGCAGTAGATCCTAATGGAATCTATCTGATGTCTGGAAGTAAGTCTGAACTTCTATCCTGCCACAAGCTTTATAAAAGAATCATTACCTAGTAACACACTTTATTTGTTATTTTATTACAGGCCATGACTGTTCTATTAGATTATGGAATTTGGACAGCAAGACTTGTGTGCAAGAAATAACAGCACATAGGAAGAAATTAGATGAATCAATTTATGACGTTGCTTTCCATCCATCAAAAGCATATATTGCCAGTGCAGGGGCTGATGCCCTTGCCAAAGTATTTGTGTGAATCAACAAAACTCACATCATAAACAACAGATTTGCTTGGACAGAAAGAGGGTCTGCATCACTGCCATCAGAAAGGTTATGATATGACACTACATGTGATCTGCCTGGAGAAGGCTGTTCGAGGCAGGCATTAAATTGGTGGAATTCACATCTTAATGTCAGGCTCATTAATTTAATTGTAATTACTGTATTTTGTGGGACAAATAAAAAGGACTCCATTATTTGTGGCCTGTACTGGATATGAACTGAGCGTATGTCTGTTTTTTAGGTATCTTTAAGCCAATGTGGAGTCTGATCTTACAAAGACTTTTATTTTGGACTCTGTGTGCTGCCTTAGGGTTAGGAATGTGGTGCTCTTGTTGGGGGAAAGTGAGCTCCAAGAGTAGCTTTTTTTCATCTCTTAGTGATTTTCTGTTTATCGGTTGAATGCCACAGATTCCCTTTTAAACTTATTTTGCTTTAAAAAAAAAAAAAAAAAGAAAATTTAACTTAAAATATTTTAGCATTAGTTGCACAAAATGTTTGGATAAAATTCTAGTTTTTATAAGTCTTTTTATATATTTAGCCTGTCACAACAGTGCTCAAGATTGTATTGAAGTTTTTCTGCATTATACAACCCTAAAACACAGAGATCTCACTGACCCGCTGCCGTGTAACCACACTTTTTCCTTCTTTTGCCTAATACAGCTCAGCTAAGTCCTTCCATAAAGATGCTAAATCACCTTCATCATCACATAATTGTCTTCATATAAACCAAGGACTATTAAGTGTATTAAAAATGAAACAGTGGGGTTTAGTACTCCAGATGAACTCTTTAAAAAGAAAAAAAAAACGAACTAATCTTGGCATCCTATCACTATGTGATATTTTGTACATCTTACTGTATTTACAAGTTTATTTATCAAGGATTATCCATCTTGCTAATAGCCTATTATTTATTTCACTTTTTGTTGGTCTTTATATCCTTTTATTAATGTGCTAAAGGAACCTGTATATCTATTTTGGAACTCTTCGAATAGTCTAAAATAGACTAAAAATGGAATATTTTATAGTTTAAGTTACAAACCAAGGTGATTTCCCCCAGATGCATATCTTGGTTTACCATGATTCCAAACAAAACTATCTTGTTCAAAAATATTTGGGGTAAAATTGTATTTGCATTACAAATAGGATACAAAAATAGTTGAATCAGGATACAGAAATCTGCTGTGTTTGGACTAGTTATCCCTGTTTTATTTTTTCAGATGTGCTTAATTTTATGGTGTAACTAAAGATTTTGTTTGTGTAATGCATGATTAAGACAATAAAGTATTTTTTCTAGTCTTCCAAAAACTTTTCTGATCAGTTTGCGAGTTTTGATGAGTTTTGTAAGGTTTTTGTTTTACAAACTATGAATCAGCAAATTTTTAAGATTGTACCACATAGCAAACATACAACTGTTGAAAAATAATGTATATAAAATGCATATAATAAATATTAAATTGTGTACCTGTATGTTACTGTTGGCTACATTATTTTGTGTTGAATAATAAAGTGCAATACTTTACTCTCCATCATTAAACTAGGAAATGGAGATTTGTCAGTGAGTCCTTCATTTTTATGCTGTTCTTTTAAACACAGTATTGCTTGAGATTCTAATAAAATTAGAATACTTAATGGTATTAAGAAGAACTTTCCAAGTACTTCACCCCATTTGGGAATATTAAAAAATCATCTGGTATAAGTTACATAATTCACAATGGCAAAAAAAAAAAAAGCAGATCCAGTTTTAAATCATTTCCTTAGACATTCTATGACTTTATTAGATCTGGATTTCACTTAATAGTATTGTCATTCCTATCTAGCCTCTTTCCACAAAAAAGTTCAGCAGAAAATAAACTGCATTACTCATTAATTAAAAATTGTCCTTATAAATAATATTAAGTGTTAGTATCTTGAAACTTCTTCCTTCAACAAGGTAATATCCTTTTTCTTGGAAGGAAATTGCAGAATTAGAAGATAATGTTAAGGGGAACATGGGTGGCTCAGTTGGTTAAGTGTCCACCTTTTTTTTTTTTTCCATTTTTTTATTCATTTCTGAGAGAGAAGGGACAGCATGAGCAGCGGAAGATCAGAAAGAGAGGGAGACACAGAATCTGAAGCAGGCTCCAGGCTCTGAGCGAGCTGTTAGCATAGACCCTGACACGGGGTCGAACCCACAAACCGTGAGACCATGACCTGAGCCAAAGTCGGATGCTTAACCAACTGAGCCACTCAGTCTCCCCTTAAGTGTCCACCTCTTGACTTTAGCTCAAGTCATGATCTCACACTTTGTGAGTTCAAGCCCCTTATCCAGCTCTGCACTGACAGAGTGGAGCCTGCTTGGCATTCTGTCTCCCTCTCTGTCTCTCGCTTGCTCTCTCTCTCCTCTCTCTCTCTCTCTCTCTCTCAAAATAAAAAACAAAAAATTTTTTTAAAGATTATATTAAAAACTAACGGCAAAATTCTGTTTGAAAGCCTACTTGGAAAAAGAAATTGTATTTATACTGTGAACTTTTCTACCATAAAAATCCAAGTGTCCATTTAGTCACTGCTGCTGAAACACTAAAATTTTTCACAGATATTCTTCAAGTTTTTTGTTGGTGTGGTTTGGTTTGGTTTTCTGAAGAGTCAACTTAATTAACAAGGGCCATTTTTTTCCTCCTTGTTTTTGGAAATTATAATTTTTCCAAAGCTAGTATGGTTTCTGGCAGCTATTCCAAACCAGTGCATTACTGTTTAACTGAAATGTGATTACCATTGTTGGAGTGCATAAACATTGACCTCTCGGGATGTATTAAAACATAAATGAATAAAAATTAACATATATGTATATTTTTGTCCGCTACTTGGTCGTCTTTTTCTCTACAATATTAACATTGGAAGAGACTAAAGATACAAAAAGAAAGTCCTATTTTTGTGTATTTCCATTTGTGACTTCTGGGAAATTATGTAGATTCATTTGACTATTAAATGGTGCCTTATAAAGTTTAAGAATATTTTAATATACAAACTTAAATATGTTGACTTTCTCAATATTTAATCATATTCTGCTTTTTTCAGGCTTTATTTTTGTGTACTTTTCTCAGATTTCAAAGTAAGTTATCCACTAAAGACCACCATCTAATTTAACACCTTTATTAAATGTTATAAGTAGCCTAGCATACTTGAAAAATAGACATGCCTGCTGAAGTTAGATTTTAATACATCTTTTTAAAAATCCTCTTTCTCCTTTTTAGTTAACCCTTTATCTTGCTTTTACAGAATAATTGATAGTAACTTAATAAAGGGGTCATTTCTGCTCTTAGTGCTCTGTAAGTCAGAATGTTAGTTTCCCTGGTTACCTCACGACTCAGAATTTTGTCCTTTATAAAATTAAAGAAAAGCATGTTTTAAAGGGGTAATGAGGGTGGCCTGGGTGGCTTTGTTGGTTAAGCATCCAACTTTTGATCTCGGCTCAAACGTTGGTCTTAGGGTTTTTAGTTCAAGTTCCACATTGGGCTCTGCACTGGGTGTGAAGCCTTAACTTAAAAAAAATATATATTGGAGGCTGGGTTTTCATTTAATTTTTCAAGGAGTGGTACTCTCGCCCAAGAATTTGTGGCTGTGTTTATGAAAAGTTTAAACATTTTTTTGTTTAAATGAAAATTCTCCTTGTTGCGTGAATATTTGTGGCATTTTATTTTTTTAATATAGTTTATTGTCAAATTGGCTTACATACCCCACCCTGTGCTCATCCCAACAAGTGCCCTCAATCCCCCCTTCCACCCTCAGTTTGTTCTCTGCATATAAGAGTCTCTTGTGGTTTGTCTCCCTCCCTGTCTGTAACTATTTTTCCCTCTTCCCTTCCTCGATGGTCTTCTGTTAGGTTTCTCAAAATTTATGAATATTTATGGCATTTTACAGGAGGGGGGCAATTTATTATCTTCCCATACTCCATTTTGTCAAATTTTTATGTGGTGTCCAAGGCAATTTGATTTCTGCCTTTCTGATATATGGTTCTTTTCTTACTTTTACACAGCCTATAAAGTCGTTTAACTCCAGAGATTTACTGGAATATAAGTATTCTAGACCAATTAACACCTATTTCAGGTCAACTTGTAAGTTGTTTCAGATAGGATTGGTGTATGTGTGGAGGGAGCTAGCAGGCACAGGTGGCCAAGGAGGAAGACAGGTCCTGTCTCTAGAGAAGATAAACCAGCCAGAATGACAGAACACCTCTATCTGAAGGGAGAGTTCTTGGTGAGGAGATGATAGTTACGTTAAGGGAGTTCTGATCATTTTTCTTAGGAATCAACTTTACAAACATGTTTAAGAAAAATGTTAATTGCAAAACATTTTTGTTGAACCAAGTAACTAAAAGCATCTCATATTTAACTTGGTAGTGGCTATGTATAATGCCTAAACAGTAGACAATAAATAAATGAATAAATGTAACAATTTTAAGAAAAAGTTCAGGTTGGTCTTTCTACATAAAGTACTGAATGTAGGATTTTTTACCATCTCCCAGGGCAAGATAACTTGGAATAATAAAAAGTAAAGCAGCTTAGAATAATAGTCACTAACAGTTTTATTTCTTGGTCAAACTACAATAATTTTTCCTGCAGTTCCAATTTTAATAGGTGTCTTTCCTTAAAGCCTGATGTTTAAAATGGCAAGTAATTTACCAACATTTTTTTTAGTACATGGATGACTTTGAGAGTATAAGCCAAATATATCTATACATATATAAAATTAAGGATGTAAATAGAAAAATACCAGACAATTCTATCTTGTTCAGTGTGATATTTCAGTTATGTTATTATGAAAATACACTACAAAAGAAGCTTGATACTTCATTCCCTTCCATTTCATTCATAATAAAGACTTTATTATATTAAGTAATAACTATTATTGATTGCTTTTAAGACAACATCCATTAGGGGAAAAATTACTTACAGAGGAACTGAGTTGAACTAATTACGTGTCATCCTCTTTATTTAATACAGAATGATTAGAGAAGGAATGTTGCTTTTGTTCTATCAGAGTCTTATTGAGCTATGGAATTTATGTCTCTGTACATTTTATATGCATTTTAGAATCCTTAAGATTTGGATCCACACTATCTCCTCTTTCCAGAGTTTCTAAGGGTCATGATTATGAAGCCTTAGCAGAGTGTTTAATAATTCTAAATTGTAATTAGAAGGTAGTAGCTTTAAATGAATGCTTATTTGCTTGAAACAGCTGTTGGCATGTTTAATATAATAGTTTTGTATGCTATATAGTATTTCAGTATTAGGAGAAAATGATTTGTACATTCCATCCTCTTGGACTTTATCTTTCAGTTGTCAGAATGTCACCATTATTGCTGGGATTCCAAGAAATCTCTACAAATGCCTCTGATGACATCGGAAACAATTGGTTCTAATCCTGTGAACTCTCTTGTGAAGAAAGCGTGTGACTCCTTTGGTTTAGAGGCCATATCTTTCAGGTCATCCAAAGGTGCCCAAGCCACACCAACAGAGAAGATGGTGATCCCTACAATGAAAATATTTTTAAGTGCATTAGAACCAAACTGCAGCTTATATATAAAATCAGGTGTAAATATTATTCATGACTTAGTTCACAGCTGTAGAGAAAACTATGTAATGTCTGAAGGACTAGATCTCCTTCACCAAGCCCAAACCAAAAGCTTTGCCATCAGTATAATTTAATTAACCACATTAGCAGATAAATCACATGATCACTGACAAAAAGTATTTTGATAATCTGATAAACAACTTCTTAGAACAAACCTACAATACCATACTTAGTGAAATGGTAAAAACTGCCTGAGATTGGCAGGAGAATGGTCTGCCTACTATCCTCACTCCCAACTAATCACACTGGAGGCCTAGCCAGTATAACAGGATGAAAGAATGGCACAAAATCTCAGATATGTAAATGGAAGTTTTCTAAGACTCTTGCATTGAGAACAGTGACTAGTCTCTTGAATAATGAGAACTTTGCAATTTTGATGTGTGTGTTACACTGGCAAATGGACCAGTAGTCAGGAATTCTCAGTGTTGGGGGCTTGGGTGGCTCAGTCAGTTAAACGTCTGGCTCTTGGTTTCAGTTCAGGTCATGATTTCACAGTTGTGGAACTGACTCCCTAGGCCCTCCCCTCGCCCGCTCCACTGTCAGAATTGGATGCTTTGGGATTTTCCCTCACCCTCTCTCTCTACCACTACCCCACTTCAGGTGCACACATATGCATGTCCACGTGCTCTCTCTCTCTAAAAATAGACTTAGAAACAAATTGTGTCTAACCCCAAAGCAAAAATCTGCTGAAAAAACCTGCTAAAGAGAAAAAGGTCTGTGAAGCTCAATAATTTCTTCTAGTTATACGCTGAGGCATAACCTCTATATTCCCTTGCACTACTAGGTTTGTATTCCAGCTACATTTCAGGGTGGTAACTACATTGGTTTGATTTACCTCAATCCCAACTGCAGTAGTTGTTTAGGAGATTCTTAGTGTGCCCTACCGTCTGTCTTTTGGCTGAAATCCCCTATAATGTTTGGAGAACTTCTGAAATC